AAAAAAAAAAAAAAAGTATAATACATCACAGACTGATACCTTTATAAAAAGCAAACTATTGAAAAAAATGAGGTTAAAAACAGACAATATTTAAGGACAGTTACTTTATTATAGAATTACTGTCAGATTACTGTAAAAGCTTCTTAATGTTTTTCTTCATCTCTGTACTCACATCTTCATGAACCAGTAATAGTTGGTGGATGGGTAGCTTTCTCATATCATACTCGGGTGGCATTGAAAGCCCCCTATACTAAGCACCCAGTTTCAACAATCTTGAATTCCTGGCTAGTTTTGGTTATTCTATGCTCCACCCACTTTCCCTTCTACCCATGTTATTTTGAAGTAAACCTCAAGTACATTTCATTTCATCTGTAGATTACAGGTATATTCTAAAGTAGCAGGGTCCACAGCATTGCAGCTATACTCTGTGCACTCTAGAGATAAGAACTGCCTGAGTGCCCCCAGAAGGCCTTTGGGAAGGGCCAACAGATGGTTTGTTTGAGCAGAGCTCCTGGAAATGGCTTCCTCATGTGGTATGCACAAGTTTAATGCAAAGGCAGGGTCTTGTGCTAAGGTACCTTCAAGTACAGATGGGCCACACACCTGGATTAAGAGAAGTCCTTGCACATCAGTGGTTGCACGTGGTTGGGGTACCTTTGACATCCCTGTGCTGGGGTCCAGCAGCTGTGCCGTGGATATCAAGACCACTGATTTTCTGAACATGCAGGAGACCCCTTCCTTGGGAATTTCCAGACTTGGGAGACTTTGAGGTGAGCTGGAGCTTCAGGTAGAGAGGTCAGAGAAGGTGTTTTATTTTATTAAAATGGTCCTAACCTCACTGTCTAGGGTGGTATGATTTGAAATCATGGCTCACACTTACAAACCTTTTCAATAGCCTTCTCTGCTTGCCGTCCCACCAGAACTCTGGTTGCTAAAGCTGAGACACAGTATGGATTGTTTAAATCCAGATTCAGGAAGGCAAACACTAAACAGACAGGTTGGAAAATGGTAATGCTGGTGTTGTTAGCTGCTACACTGCACTGTTTTATTTATTGTATTGGTGAATTCTGAGTTTAAAGAAGCACTTTTACTGCTATTTACTGTATCCATTTGCCTAAGGCACTTGACTGCTAACCAGAAGGCTGGTGGTTCAAACCCACCAGCCACTTCTTGGAAGAAAGGTTGGGCAATCTACTTCCGTAGTGATACTGCCTCGGAAACTCAAGGAGGGGTCACTATGAGTTGGGTCCGACTCAATGGCACATAACAACAACAAGAACATTCTTGAAAATGAGTTTAAGTTTTAAAGGTCTTAGTAAATATTTAGTAAAAAAGATTCAGTAAGTTTAGAAATCTTAAAAGTTTGATAAAAATTAATATAATGAATTATATTATTTAAAATTATTTTTCACTTTTTTTTTTTTTTTTTACAATTTATACGGCTTTAGTGTTTTAGACTTTCTGAGACAAGGTGACCAAACTTGAGATTTTTAGGAGAAATTTTTATGTGCACTGTTTTCTTAGCAGAGTAAGTTGAACTGAACAAGGCTGAGCAGTGTCATTACTGACTGACTTCAGTTTTCCCTTTAAATCTCACATCACTCTTTCTAGCCCAGTACATCATGCTCTATATGGGCCCCTTGGCTCCCTCACCACATCCCCATATTTCTCTCACAGCCACTCACCTCTCATACCTTTTATCCTATTTAAGCCATCTTAGAGAGACTGACCATTCCCTTGCTTTCACCTAGGAAGCCAGTCTTCAAGGGAACAGATCACTCCAGGCATGGGTAATGGGATAGAAAGTGTTTCATCTCAGTGGGTTGCCAATTTGAATCTAGCACAAGCCAGCAGTGATTGAAATTCATCACTGCATGGCAGGAAAAATGCCACCCTTCCCCTTACCCCAAGGCCCTGGTACTGTCTGCCTGGCTTGAATGACAGGTATCCCTGTCATGTTGCCTTCCCTATCATTTCTATTACCTGACAGCCTATTCCATATCAGGTCACAAGAGAAGACCCAGAAAAACTTGCATGCTTTTCATCACACATTACAGAAATAGGCTCCAAAGGTTTATAGTAATATCTTCACAGTTGACCAGTATGGATTCATAGATAAGAGAGTGGGCTTTTTCCTGAGCAAGACCATAATCCACATGGGATGTACCTGGATGATCTCTTCCTAGCATGCATGAGCCATCTTGGACTGTGCATTTATATTCTGTGAATTATTCTGATAATTTTTTTTTTTACTGACTACATAAAGCACAGCCTATCTGCATGAGTACTATAATCAGTGCTATATTTGAAATTTGGCTGACTTGATTGGATGGCCATTTTCATTAAAGACCATGGAGCAAGTTGACCCACATTTGCTTTGGGGGTGGTTCTATGTGCAAACCTGTCTTCTTTCCTTCTTGCCTTCCTGCAGGGGTTCAGAGATGACAATGTGATACCATCTCTGCCCTGAAAGAGCATCCAGTCAAGTATTAGTATTAATGCTTTATTAATATTACTAACTTTATCAAACCAGGAATGGAAAAGGGCCAGCCCTCACTGCCCAGATAGCAGGAGCCCAGTCTCAGGAGAAAACTTATCCATGGTGTCATTAGACCTACTTTTACAGAATTTGGGAGGCCGAGTGTTTGTGTCCAAGCCATGATTCCCATTCCAACACTCAATTTTAAAAGTTATTATTTGTCACACTTGTTGGTGTTATGAGTTGCCATAGAATTGATTCCAATTCATGATCCCATTTGTCATATTAAATGCCAGGAAATTTGCTTTTAACTTAAAAAGATCCTTCCCTCATTTCAGTCTTAATAGAGTTCCATGATGACCATTCCCATCACTTTAGTTTATCTTGTTCATAGGATTTAGTGTTAAGTCATTTATCTCTCTCACACACACACACTTTTAGGGTTCAAAGTTTTTCACAACCAAATCAACTCATCATCCTCCTTGATGAATCATATTTTCAGAGTGATCAGTACCTGTTTTGCAGTTGTTTATTAGTGAGTGTTGTTGTTATGTGCCGTCAAGTAGCACCCGACTCATAGTGATCCCTCCTTGGGTTTCCAAGGTGGTATCACTACGGACGTAGATTGCCCAACCTTCCTTCCGAGGAGTGGCTGGTGGGTTTGAACCACCAGCCTTCTGGTTAGCAGCCTTAGGCACCACTACGCTACCAGAGCTCCTTTCTTAGTGATAGTCTATTTAAACCTTACCTAAGGAATTCTTTGGAGACCTCTGTTTGGATTCTGTGCATTTGGTTTCTTTACATTTTTTTCCCTTTGTTCTCCTGCAAAGAAAAATTGTGGTTTATTTACACTCACCCACATCCACCCCCCTTCTTAGGGCTAAGTGCTGCCTGGCTTTTTCCGGGTATGTGATCTCTCAGGAAGATGTCACTCACTGGCAT